AGCTAGTTTTGGTTTTTCCTCCCCAGCAGAAAAAAGAAAAACGTTCTACATGCCTGTCTCACAACACGCCCTAATGCAAACCATTAGTTATTTTGGTGCTCATCCATGGGCTGCATTTTCATTTAAGGGGAACACAAAAAAAGGATGCATTGCATTCTGGTCCATACATACACCTCAAGGAGGTTCCAGGCAATGAAACACCAAAGAGAAACGCTAAAATTGAGTGTTTAGGGACTAAATGAATAACCGCCAGTACTTTCCATTACACAGCACAATCTGCCAGCCTTCTGGAAGATGCTGTACGAAGTCTGAATCTGAGAGAAGTGAAAGAACTTTGTCGTATTATTCTTGGAATCGAAGCTGGCTTTTACTCTGATGCTTTGGAAATCGCCGCAGACTGTTTTCTGTACGTGTGCACTCATCAATGACACCACTGCCTATGATTTTTAAAATACCCGATTTGACATGGAAGCACATCGCCCTCCTCATTCGGTAACAAAGCAACGGTAAAAATGTAAATGCACAAAGAACACTTAAAATAATACCCTGCCATGTGTCCATTAATCTGCTTTAAAGGGTCCCATTTCAATCTAAAATCTATTCTCATGTTTACGAGTGCAAGGCCAGGAAAACATTTTTCTTCCTAGAAAAATATTAATCTATTACAAAATTCAGATATCAGTTTCTTTTAATATTTTTATGGCTTTTAATGATCTGTGACTTCTAATATGAATCTATATTTTTTAGGAAGTTTGGGACCTGAACATTTTATTTTCAGTTTATTTTGCTGAATCATACCTGCCTTCAAACTGTCCTAAATATCAATACATGCTTAGGTGCTACTGGAAAATTGATAGCTTACTTCTTCCCAGTGTTTTTTTTTTGTTGTTGTTGTTGTTTCAAAATCATTCAGAATAACTGATGTAGACACAGACTTTCACAAAGATGCAATTAATGCAGAGTGGCTTTTCTGTCGGAGGCCTTTAAGGTGTCTCTAAAGGTACAATAAAGCTTCCTCTTCCAGTACTGATGGAGGGGCTCCTTATCTCTGGCACCTAAGGGGTAAACCACAATCTCCTCTTTTCTCTCTCTTCCTCATGCGCCAGCTTGCTCCACCTTTAACAGGATTTACAGTACCATACCTCCTTCTTCTCTTTGCTCAGAATTTTGCATAATTGCTGTGGTATACTTACACACATGGCTCCAGTAATGATTACCATAAAAGCTTTTTTTCCCCCCCTCTTTCTTTTTGTATCTCCCAGTGTGTGTGAAGATGCATCTACGTGGGTTCATGCCAAACCTAAAGCGTTAAATGTGGGGCAGCAAACGGAGGAGAAAAGAGGGGGGGAGTCGTGGTGGCTGGGCTCAATTTAGTCTGGCGCATCTTAAAACATATGGGCTCCCCAGCTGTTCTGAATATGCAAATTGAAAATGCAAGCAGACACACACACAGACGCTGGCTCACACACGCACACGCGCGGTGTGTTCCCATTCTTCTTGCCATTTTCGCTTCTATCTGCACGCCATCCCAGACAGTCTCTCCCCGAACCCCCTCCTCGCCGAGACCCCCCTTACTCGAAAAACGTGGCCGCCATTTTGAACGCACTGGATGCCGTCTAGTTCACTGGCGAGCGTGGCCGAATCCGGTCGTTAGGTTGGAAAACAAATGGCCTCTTTCATTGCCAGCCGCTCTTCTGGGTTTAGCTTCATGCCAATTAAGGGAGCAGCATGCATAACGAGCTGCGTGCAAATATGACGAAGGAGGAAGCGGCGCAACTCAAAGTGTGTTTGCTTTTCGATTTTTTGCAACTGTCATGAGCAAAATACACGCCACACTTTCTCCTTGACTCAGACCTGCACCACTTGCATTCAAAGGTTTTTATAAAGCGACTTTAAATGTATGTTCTTTTGTATCACCACCTGAGCAAAATAAGAAAAGTAGCTTTACAGCACAACATTGGGAATGACTTGGCGAAGGTAAACTCAACAGCCCCATGTTTACTGTAAGGTCCTCTGTCTGAGCAAGCAATTAACAACATGCAGAGATTTTTGTGACAATCATAGGGTTAGCTAAAAAGAGATTACATTGTTTTACCGTTTACTGTCTGGCTAGATATCCCCAAATGGATCTATAGTCTCTTACTACTGATTTCCAAATGTATGGCCAATGTCTTATACATACAAAATATGAACCTTTTAGATGGTGTCATAGTACAGCAAAATTCTATAATATACACTCAACAGATGCACAGATTCTCAGCAACAGTTTCAAAAACAACACTGTTGCTTATATGTATGAAATCAATCAAAATAATTTGTTTAAGAAAGAGCAAAGAACACTACACAACAGTCTGAGAATCTGTAATTTATTAGACCCAAATTTGTCCTGTTTCCTAGTGAAGGAGACCCCTTCCTGGCTGTTTTGGGATGTGATAGCTGATAAGAAATGGCAGCCATGTTTCACCTTAAAACACTACTTTAGTGTCCACAGGCAACTCTACTGATCTTTGGGATACTGAAACAGCCCCATAGTCCATTTCAGGCTATATTAATGATTTAATACATCAGCTCAGCCACTGTTTATGTTAGAGGGTGTCATTTCAAACAGATGTATAAAAATATGTGTATTATACAGCTGAACCTAACCCAAAGTAGAATATAAATGAAGAGAGTGTGTTTAACTATCACAACAGCAAAAGATGAAGTGGGGCAGTCAAACCATGGACAGAGTACTCTTGACATGAAGGTGCTTTAAGTTTCACGACACAATCCTTACTTTTATAAGAGCTGACAAATTCCGAAGCAAGCTCATGCTGAAATAAATGAAAGATTTATCTGACATCCCTAGAGTTTTCTTAAAAACACACAAGGAGACAAACCATTAACAGGGTGGTTTGCTACGTGGTCTGGCCAGTTAAACTGTTTATCAGCTAAACTTGTGTCGTGTCACTGACAATCAGCTCAGGGGTGCCAAGAAACACTGTAGCAGGGACGTCATTATTCTGGGTTAAACAGACAGCTGATACTAAAGTAAATCCGAAAATAACATGAAAATAAAACTGAAACAGAGTGGACAAGAAGGACAGTGAGCACTGAAGACTGTACATCCCATGGGTTAGCATGGTAACTGCTAAACTTCTCCATGATTGTCTTGATGATCTTCAAAGTGATACGATCCCTTATGTCCACACTGTGGTCTCCTGCTTTGTGCACAGAATCTATACCGATTTACTCAGAACAAATGCAGAAAGGAGCAGAATAATGAAAAGACGAAAACAGAAAGGTAGCAAAAGTGAAGTCCATAACGGAGCACGGAGGCTCATCGGGGTGCAGCTCATGGCTTCTGCAGTGCTAAGCTGATCAATGACCGTATGATTCCTCCCTGGATGGGACACCAGTCCATTGCAGTGATGACCCCTCAGCAATCCTGGTCCCCCTTTATTGCTGGGTGGACTGGAGCAACTGGTGTAAATTACCTCCCTCTAAGCATAAGAGCAGCCTTTGCAGCAGGGACTCGAACCCACAACCTGTCAGCCAGGAGTCCAGAGGCTTAGTAGGGACGTAGGCAGAGTAGTGGGTAACATTACTCTCTTCTGTCCCCAAAAGCAAGAAAGGAACTGAGAAATAATTACACCGCCTGTATGGCGCAGAGCATGTGGGACTCTACCACTGAACACCCATGCAACCCTGCAATTTTGTGTATTATTCATTTTTTTTAAAAATCTCAAGGATAGAGAGAGAAAGGAGATTTCTTGACTACTACTGCAACGCCCCCAGATTTGAACCTCAAAAATGAGCCATATATATAGACGCCATTCTATATGTGTCTGTTGAGTGGCCAAGGCTATTAGCGCCACAGACGGAGCCATGAGAGTTAATTAAATCAAGTGCATGCAAATGTAATTAACCGCGATTTGCATATCGTTCACAGTTCCGCAGCTGGCGAATGCAGAGCAGACGCCATCTTGGGCTCCCAGAGAGCCGGCTGCAAGGGGCGGCCATTTTGTGAAGCGCCACTCTCTGCGATGCCAGCTTTCCATCCCCCATGGTCCACCCTGCCGTCATATTCCAGCCCGGAGGGGGACACCTGCTTCAACACTTTGCAAGCGAAAGTAAAACACAGTGGCAGGAGTTTTCTCTTTGGAGAGCAAAGGGAATGTCTTTTTTTTGTGTTACATCTAACCTAACACATCTTCTCTTTTTGCTTCCAGAACATTGCGATTCTTTTAGGAACTTCCCTCTCATGGCGAGATGGCAGTAACGGATTTGGGATGACTGGGGAAGACCGAGCCACTTACTCCAGGGGCGCTCAGTGATCATTGGTGATCCAACGAGGCCAAATTGATTTTTTTAAATTTAATTCAAACCCCCCTTGAAAACTGTTAAGTGAATGTGTATATTGCTTTTTAAAAATAACCACTTGACAGGTGTTAATCAGACACTAATTAAAATACAAGTACAAACCTAACTCAACTACAGCTGCCCAGAGGCTGCTACACAACAGGACTGTCTACCTCTCCTTCATGAAAGCATTGTCTCATTTAAATGAATGAAAGTATTTAATGAAATCCCTCATAATGTGGATTACACCTGTTAATTGCACTTGTGATTTTAAAGGCATCCTACATATCTTAAAATTTCAAACGAAATCAAAAGAAAATAAGAAAAGCTGCAAATAAAATGAGGCTATTCAGAACTTCTGACTTAGAAAAAGATAGCTCATTGATCCAATGGTCCTATTTGACCTTTTCTTTTAGCCCTCAAAGTGATCTAGTGGCTCTGACAGTTGCTTATCAATTATTATTGATGTCTTGAACATTTCCAGTGATCACCTTTTAAGGTAAGGGGTTTTACGTAGTCAATTTCCTAACTCAGGATAGGGATCATGAAAGCAAGGAAGAGCTCAGATATAATGATAACCTGAAGAAGCTGGAGTGCTGTGGTCCAGGACTAGATACAGCTGAGATGAGTATCAGTGAAGGAGCAAAATCACAACTTACCGGTCGTGAGCTGCGCCTTGAAATTAGGGTTCTATCCACCCCTTCCAGGAAGAAGTCTGCTGCTGTCACGGGGCAGGCGCTCTTAGGACACACTGGCCAAGATGCTTTTCCCAGGTGGCCTACAGAGACCAATACTGGATCATGGAGCCCAGACCTGCACTCCACCCGTCCTGAAGTTTGATTGGTTTAGATTAAGTTTTGATGGACCGTGAATTTCCTTCCACACTTGGATTTTTTTCCTGCACTGTCTGTAAAGTCTTGAGATGAAGGTGGCTCAAGGGACCACAGATCTCATAAGGAAAAGAAAGGAAAGGTCCATGCTGTGCCTGCACCAGTCAGATGAGTTTTTTGAGTCTTTTTGGAGCAAGATGCACAGTTCAAGCACAGTTTTTACTTCTCCTGAGCTTTTTGGCACTGACTGCACTTGCTCCTGCTGAGACTGACTACACAGCAGCAAACTGACTTCCCCCAGACTTCAGCCTGTGACATCCTGGAGTTAACAGAGACCTGGGAAGTTTAGGAAAGCTGGAAGTGATGTGCATTGGCACCTCGTTTATTCTGAGTAGTCTCAAGTGACAGGGCCAGATCAGATTCCAAAGTGCAATGAGTCTCTGCGTACTTTTACAGAAGCCAGGAAGTGTGAATATCAATGCTTACTGTTAAACTCTGCAGGATCCATGCGATTTTCGGGAGATGCCATGTCTCCACTAATGTTCCAGAGCTGGAAGGGTGGAGCACAGGAGTACATCAGGGCCTAGAGACGAACATTCTCTGCTTTGCGCCTCACTGCTCTGGAAATGCCACATCCTGTGAATTTTACACATATTGCTCTTGAAAAAATTGGGGAATAAAACCCCCATCAGACATACTGCATATGGATGTTTCCCTGCCTTATTCAGAAACTTGTTAATGCCTGCATTTCCATTTGGAAAATCCCTGTTTCTTTTCAGGCACATGGCTTTTAGGCCTCCGAGGTACACAGAAGCCTTTTAGGGAGAATTAGGTGAATGTCTGGGGGGTGAAAAACAGTGGAAGACAACGTTCCAGAGAGTCTTCAGGCACGTTCTTCAGTTACAGGTCAGGCTCAGCGTATCACTGAAGCAAAAACACTGTTACTTCAGTGCTGCATTACAGAAGCCTCTCCAATGAATTCTGGATGATTCAGTCCAAGGAGAGCACAGAAGATGTGATAAGGAAAAAAAAAAAAAAAGACCTTTGGTTTTCTTCTTTGTTTCTGGCAAACTTTTAGCAAGTGGTCTTGGAGAGTAAAGGCCCTTCGGCAAAACCACACACACACACATATATCAACGCAGACACACGCGCACAGCGGTTCAGGGTTGAGCCCCCGCCTGATGCAGCTGCCACGGCTCCAGCCCAAGCACTCCGAGAGCCAGGGAGATGTGCAGAGGACTCCCTGGGCTCTCTGCCCAGGGGCTGTGTGGAGCGACCCCCAGCCGCCCTCCTCCGTATTGATTTCTCCCGCGGTTGCTGCCTGCTTGTAGAGGCGGGACGCCAGTGGGTACGGTAGCCTGCCTCGGCTGCCCACTCCGCCGCTTCCTGGCTGGCCCCGGATCCTCACAGAGACGGGGAGATGGAGAGGGCGCCTGTGGCAACAAACAGCTGTGCGCTGCTCCCGAGTTCATCTGAAGCTCTGAAGCTTGGCTTCGTCCTCCTCCTCCTCACTGCATGCAAACAAGGAGGGGGAAAAAAAAAATCAGAAAAGAAGTTCAGCATAACTTTTGCTGGTTGCTCATCGCAGGCGCTGCCCGAATGTCTAAAGATTCAATGTATAAGAGAAAGGAGAGCATGGTCTAACCTTGAAAATGATGATAGACTCTGTAATGTCTAATAGGGCTTCAGAGTTGTTTTTTTTTCCAGTATCAGCCACTATAAATTTTCAATTAATGCACAAAGCCTCAGACTTTGCCTGCCAAATATGCCGTGTTCTTTTTGCCTGTGGTATGTTTTTACAGAAAAGCCACAGATTTGAAAAAGTATAATGAACAATAACAAGTGCGTTAAAAATAAAGCTAAAGGGAAGAACGAAATACAATCTTCAGACTGGTGAGCGTTTAGCATTTATTTTTTGCATTTTCCGAACAGTTACAAACTGGAGGTGACCTTTGAAACATCTAACCCCTTCGGGGATCTCACCAAGCCATTTCTCGAACATAGTCAGGGGTATGCAGGTCGACAACATGGCTAGGCATGCTGCCACAACCCCTTGGTCAAAGACGTGCCTCATGTTCCCGGTTTTTAATGCACTTCCACGCAGCTTCTTCATGACACTGTGACATTTTTGCCTTCAGTCTTAAGGCAGAGGCATGGCTTCCTGCAGAAACGATGCGGACTAAGGTACCGCAGGCCTGAATGTCGTGACCACGGCTGTGACAGGGACCCACTTTGCCAGAATGAGCTATGCTCCCCAGTTTGTTTTTGCGTTTACAGCCCTTCTTCAGCAGGCTTTGAGATTTGCTCCAGTTATCCGCATTTAACGGACAATGCAAAGACCTTTGGCGCTGGCCTACAGTAAAAAAAAAAAAACTTCAGTTCAAAAAATGATGGGTGCAAAAATTCCACAAGGAAACCTCAAATACCCTTTCTTTTATATTCTTGAATTATCTAAAATTATTCAAACACTTTCAGCACCCTGTTATTATGTTAATGGCCCCGGGGTACATTCCTTTACGCACTCACAAGCTTATTGTGCCTTTGCTCTATGAAAATACAACCCCCCTCCCCCCAATTCACACACATGCACTCATCCCACAACCCCAAATATCCCACCCAACCCTTCCACAAAAAAAAATGAAAAGAAGAACAAATGCGCAGGAGCCCCCCGAGTCAGGGGAAATAAAGAAATAAAGTTTTGAGAAGTGGGAGTCTGTGAAAAGCCACTGTTGATTTGTGTAAAGATAGCAGAGGAAGGGGACTACGCTGGGGCTGAGAGGGACCGTGGGGCCTGAGGGGAGAGGAGGGTGTCTCAGACACAATAATACCATTCACTGGGCCCAGACATGGGTGTTAACCCCCCCAGCACGACACAATGGGACTCCCTGTCATTCAGACAGCCTTGGTGATATTGTTAGCTCAGGGCCGTATTCTCCCCCACCTCGGGAGAAAGGGGCTGCATTGTGTTTGGCTTGGAAGCCTGGGTGAGCAGGGGCTGGGGAGGCGCAGGGCAGAGACGGAGAGAACAGTGTGGCTGTCGATCTGTCAGCTCCTGACGGGAGGGCGGGGGGACAGCCCCATGGCATTGGACTTGTGCGCTCTCGAAAGGAGAAATAGACACGCACACACACAAAAAAAGGGAGAGAGAGAAAGAGAGCGAGAGAAACAGATCGCGCTATAAATATTATTGAGGTGGCCATGCATGGAGCGGAGAAGTGGGGAGGAAGGGGGTTTGTTGGGGGTGGGATGCTGGGGGGCTACGGCGTTTTTGTGGGGTGGATGAGGTGGTCCTCAGTTTCGCCCATTTTCGTTTTCCTTCGCAGTGTGCAGGCGCTGGTGTGTACAGCCCCCCGCTCGCTGCCTGCCTGCCTGCCTGCCTGCTGCAGTGGCTGGGTATGAGATCTGGCAGCGCTCACGCTAAACTACCGCGAGACAGATTCCTCTCCTCCTCAAACCCCCCCCACCCCCAACAAGAACATCACACTGAGCACAGCGAAGATGCTGGGACCAAGGGCGAGGAGAGGAGAAGGAGGTGCAGGGGGGGGGGGTGGGGAAGGGCCCAAAAGAAAAGAAGAACAAAAACGGGGGGAGATAGATACCATCTCTCCGGGCATCGCATCATGAGGAAGGGCTAAGGATTGGAGTTCCGCTTTCAGGGAAAGGGGGAACAGATATACCATTCAGAGATCTTTACGCACCAGGCTTACACACGAAAATTAATTCGCAGCATTGCAGAGCTCACCACAGGCGCTCGTGTGGTAACAGGCAGGATAGAAAAATAAAACAGGTCAGGAAACATCTGGGGGTGAATGGTCAGTTTAAAAAAAATTTTAATGATCCCACTGATATGTAATAACTGGCAGGTTATAAGGAATTAGTTGCCTACATTTTTGTAAATCCTGTTACCCATATGACTCATAACAGCAACAATGTCACACCTTTCGATACTAAGGACACAGCCATAGTATTTCATTAAGCCTGCTTCCACTCCCCAGTCCAGCTACTGAGCACACTGTAGGCCAGCAGCCTAACCACTGAGCTACTGAAAACTGCAGCCCTGCACTTTAACACTGAGCTACTGATCACACAGCAGCTCTGTTCTCTAACGCTGAGTTACTGAACACACTGCGGCCCAGAGCCCTAAAAACTGAACTACCAAGCACACTGCAACCCCACACTCTATCCACTGAACTACTAAACGCACTGCACGCCACCACTGTAATCCTAAACTACTGAGCACACCTCAGGCCAGCACTGTGACAAGTATAGATATAAAGATCAGAACAAATCTAAGACAAATGAAACACAACAACAGCAGGACAAATGTTAGGCACTATATTGTCTTTCATTAAAACATGGCTAACAAAGGCAGCATGGCCAGAGAAGGCATTTTATATATATATATGTGATTGCATGATCTGTTCTGTTCCAAGGCGGTTGGAGAATAGCAGGACCTGCCTTTACGCAAGTACAGTACAGCTACTGCAATAAAAGGACAAGATGTGCGCTCATTCATCTCAATTAAAAGAGCTGCTGGCAGCAAAGGAAACTGTCTTTAGTTCTCCCCATCGGAAAGGGCCAACACAAAAATACTCTTCTTCTTGGGACTCCTCTTAGATATTTGTAAAGGTGGAGCCAAAACAAAAAAGAAGTGCTGGAAATGTGCCATGCCATCAGTGACACAAAACAGAAAAAAAATATTATTTTCTATCTCATCCCAAACGCTCTTTGCCTTGTCTGAAAAAGCACACGCCCAGTCCTCTACGAAAGATCAGCGAAGCTTAAAACAACACACTGCTTCCCTTGATGGTTCTCCAGGACTCCTGCAATCCTTTAGTGGGACGTTTTTATTTGTAAGATCTTGGATTATTCACTTGGGTTTAACATGCTCTTTTCTAGGAGTCTTTTCTCATTTCTCAGCCCTTTTTTTCCTCAATCCCCCCCCCAGCTCACAGTCAGTACTCCATCGACCCTATTTGCCCTCACTGTACACATCTGCTTTGTTTGACCCATATCACCGTATCACTGGTTAACTCCACAATGTGTTCCTATGTCGACTTTACCCCTCCTACACCACAGCCAGTATCTAAACCAGCTGACCCGGGCCCTTGCCCCAGTTTAGAGGGCGTCTATCCTACCAAACCACCCCTGATGGAGAGATGCTACGCCCTCGTTCTACCTTCTCTCACACAGTCTCCCTCCTCAGAACTTTACCATTTGATTCCACTGCTGCATGTGCTTTCAGCTGAGTTTACTTCTATGTCGGGGGAGGCTAATTAGGACAATTGGTCATCCTTTCACAAACGCTAGCTGGCAAGAACAAACATTTCCTTGCACCGTGAAGAGTGATGCTCTTTATGCTGATAAAGATGCTAGTTTTAGTTACTTTGGGCCAAACAGTTAGTTCGCTTTTTAAATGATTTATTCTTACCCATGTAAATCCGACCCAACCAGATGCTCATCCAAACTGGGATAAAAACAGATCTTATTCAGACTATGGCTGACCCGGCACTGTATTGTGCTTTTATCCAGCATCAGGACACTTGTTCAAACCCAGCCGTGTTTTTTTTTTATTTTCAAGACAGGTCCGGCACTGAAAGGGGGTGGTAAGTCCTGCCCGACTGTATCCCGTAACACCCTTCGAAGTCGCAGCCTTTCATCTCAGCAGGCTCCTTCCTGGGAAAGCATTTTAATAAATAAACAGACTTATAAACAAGCAAATGTGCCCGGGCTTTGATCACGCAAAGTCCACCCCCATACAGAGAAGATGCTGGGGGCGGTGTCAGCAAGGGGGAGAAGCAGAGGGGTTTGGGGGTCTGCTGAAAGCCCATCTCTCGTTGGGGGGCTAATGCCTCTCAGTGGCCAGGGGGCTACTTATTGTTCCAGCCAAGGGGATTACATCAGTGGGACGGGGCAAACAATGTACCCCTCCTGTGAGGGAGGGGCTCAGAGATCCTGGGGAATGAGGAGGGCGGTGAACTGCTCACTGACTCAATTAAACTTGAGAGAGAAAGAGAGAAGGGGGGGGACAAGGGGGGAAGAGCGAGAAACAAGGAGGTTGGGGATTGTGGGAACGAGGAAGAGGATGAGGAGGCAAGTGGTTCGGAAGGATAGGAAGGACGAGAGCCTTAAGAGGCAGACGGAATAAGAGGGCACATGGAGGCCCCATGGCGAGAGAGGAAGGGGGAAGATTATGTGAGGAAGAAGAGAGGCTGGGACAGAGGTGAGAAGAAATACAAGCCGGGCCTGAAGGCTCAGCGATAAGACGGGATATCTGAGTATGGAAAGAGAGGAAGAGGATGAGAGGTTAGAAGGGTGAAGAAGAGAAAGAACAGCAAGGAAAAAGGCTAAGCACAGGGGATTTTAGGAGCCATGGAGTGTGTGTAAGAGCAAAACACAGAAAAGAGGTGAGGGGAAAACAAGCTTCCTTAACCTTAGTATTCATTTGTATATAGTATAAAGTACAGCATACAAGGACCACATTCGAGCAGGGAGCTGCATCAGCATGTGT